AGTGGGGACAGAGGAAGGGAAATTGCCTGTGACATTTCCCTGTGTCCTAGGGCCTGAATGGCTGAGATGCCACTTAGACATCGCAGTGGGTGTCTGTGAATCCACAAATAGAGTTGGGAGGGTGTAGACGGTGACCATGCAGCAGGTTAGAGCCTCCAGGGAGAGTGGAGACAGAGGAGGCCGGGCGCTGTCCTTGAGCTTTGACCTTGAGAGGTTTTGAAGGGAGGAAGGCAGAGGTCCCAGCACCCAGGGTAACGGCTGCCAGTTGCGGTGGTAAGAGGTGTTGGGAGAACTCGGTTTTGCACGGCAGAGGTAGATCCGTTACTCTCTGCATTAGGGAATTGCCACAGAGGCACCTGCTCAGGTCGCCTGGTTCATCTCATGTGGACAGGGAGACGCTTGCTTTTGGAGAAAAGAAAAAGCTGTTAGGGTGTCGGGGAGAAAATTTCTGGTCTCGGGTTGATGTGGATTTTGCTGCTCCTCCTGGGGGTGGGTGTGTGTGTGTGTGTGTCCCACAAAAGCAAGCTCTCAAGGCAGCTCCTCTGCAGTGGCCCAGAACACGGGGGTGCTCAGAAAGACGGCTGTCCTGTGAGCCCCATCTTGGAGGCTCCCCAAGATGCCCCTCTGAGCACAGAAATGGGTCTTGTGAGTCTAGGGTGCTCATGTGGCCAAGATGTATCCTGGCCTGTGGCTCAAGGCTGGGCCTGGTTCAGGGTCTGCTGTGCAGGGGTCCAGATCTGGGTGAGGCGAGGGGACCCAACCTCGCCCCGTTCCTGGAGCACCTGCGAGGCTAGACATGAGCCAGGTGCAGCAGTGGACAGACGTGGACCCCAACCCTGACCTCCCGGCCATGACGTGGAGAGCCAAGGGCAGCTGGCAGACAGATCTGCTGGTGAGGGTGCGGGTGTGCCCTTTAACCAGGGCAGAGGTGGGCCAGAAGGGCCGCCGTGGCTCATGGCTGCTGTGCTCCCGCAACAGGACGAAGCCAGCACAGCCCCTCCCTCCAGAGACCCAGTGGGGGCTGCGCCCTAAGTACACTTCAAGACGGGCAGGTCAAGGGGTCTCTGAGTCGCTGACGGGGGACGATGGTGGACCAAGAAGGCTTCTCTGGGTCCAAATTCCTTCCCCAAAGGACAAGGAGTGAGTGGGGCAGAGGATGGGAGTGGCCAGCATGGGCATGGCTCAGGGCGGGGACAGGTGAGCTGGGAACAGGTACAGGGGCGCAGGGCGGGGACGGCCCCACCTGCATTAGGAAAGCAGGCTCRCTGGAGCCCGGGGGCAGTGGAGGGGCGGGGACCACAGCTGGACAGAGCCCGAGGCCCGGGGACTCCTGGGCAGTCCCTGGGGAAGCCTCTGCTCTGTCCCCTCCAGTGCCGGGRCGTCCCCCACCAGGAGGGGCGTTTCCTGCTCCCCCATCTGGTTTAGGGAGACCCCTCCCCCAAGGAGCTGAGGTGGGACGGGGGTCATTGCTCGGGGAGACCAGAAGCTGGGGTTGGAGGTCGCTGGGACGGAAGCCCGGGGACCAAGACCCTGGGCCTGGCTGAAGCCCCTCCACAGCCCTCCCCAGGGGCGGGTTCTGGTGCCGCTGTTCAGTCACGGTGACAGGGCCACTCTGCCTCCTCCAGCTGCCCGAGGCCTGGCTAATATTCYGGGGGACGGCTGGCCATCCAGGCATCTGGTAATTGATGCCAGGTGCATACAGCCACACACCCCTGACCCCATGAGGACAAAGGACACAGTGATGACGAGTGCGAGGAAGGACCTAGGACAGGCAGGCAGGACAGGTGGCACCCACGTCGGGACACCTGGTGCCAAGGTGAGCGGAGCGGATTCTCGCCTCCTTCCTGGGGGAGGCGCGTCTCGCTGAGCTCTCGTTTCTCGGGCCCACCACACCTGCTGGGGGAGGGGAGCCTCCTGGGGGAGGCCACGTCCAGGCTGGGACACTGCAGCCCGAGCCCTCTGCGATGCCACCGCTCCAGCAAGCCGGGCTCCTGGTTAGGTCTGCAGTGCTGTGTGGCCTCGGGCACGTGCCTCCGACTCTCTGGGCCTTGGTTTCCTCTGGTGTTGCTGTTGTCACAGCTGCTTGGAGCCTGGATGTCCCTTTGATGATGATGAAGGGGAGGCTCTGGCCCTGCAGCTCGCCTCTCGGGGCTGACTGGTCCTCGTCATTCCAGGCGTGCACATGCCACGAGAGCTGGAGCTCGAGTAGGCCTCGGGTTGAGCCGTGGCGTGTCCCTAGGCGCTCAGCAGGCAGTGGCAGGTGAGTGCCAATTCCGCAGCTCAGGGCTCCACACGGACACCGCGCACCAAGGGCCCTGCCTCTGGGCTCAAGTCCTGGGGGAAATGGACAGCTGCCCTCCCAGCCAGCAGGGAGGGGCCAGCAGGACGAGGGACAGAGAGGCCAGGAGGTGGCTGGGCTGTCGGGCACTGCCCCGAACAGGGTGKCTGCTCTCGCTGGATGTCCCAGTATGGGGTGGGGGGGGGGGTTCTGATGCTCCCCTGGGGATTCTCGCCTGGAGAAGGGCCTGGGGTCTGCTCTGGGGCTCCCAGTGCCACTCTCTGGGGCTGGGTTTATGCAGGTGGTGATGGGACTGTTTGTTCTGTTGGAAATCACTTCTGTCCTCCCCGTGGAGTTGACCAGGAGGGGGAGGACTTTAGCTGGGTTGTGACTGGAGACTGGCATGGCCCTATTAAAGGTCACATGGGCTCTGAGGGGACGGGACCCACRGGACCTGATGGTGCCCTGTGGAGTAGGGAGGAGACAGGAAGCGGGAGGGAAGGGGCCGCCGTGGTCCCAGCTGAGCGCAGGGGGAGCCGGGGCGTGGGCTGCTCCCTAGAAAGGGGCTCGGGCGAGCTGTGAGATGGGCTGCTGGTCAGGCAGCGGGATGCGAGACAGGCTGACAGGCTGGGGTCTCTGGACTGTGCCATTGCTACAGCAGTCACCGTCACCTCCTGYGGCGGGTGTGCCCAGCGCAGGCTGGGGCCGGTGTAAGATCACAGGTTTGCAGACTTACAACCCCCGGAGCAAAATCCGCTCTGAATACGGTGCTGTSGAAATGTGGCCCTGAGGGTTGAGTAAAATAGACACAGGGAGTTCTAAACGATACCTGTGGCTCACGTGACATTGCTGGGGACAACAGTGTAAAGATGGCACAGAGGTCACCCAGGATGGGTGTGGGACCAGAGCAGAGGCCTGTGCCCATGGCCTGAGGCCTGCAGCACCCCCCTTGTGGCCCCAGGGACTGTGTCCCCTTGTGGACACAGGGACTGCAGAGGTCGGCGGGGGCAGCTGAGAAGGTAGCAAGCCCAGAGCGCTGCCCTTGAAGCGGGCTTGGGGATACTTCCTCTGTGCTATGTGACAGCCCAGGTGTGTGGTGAGGGCCAGGATCTCTCCAGGCATGAGTGCAGGGGTTCCAGATGCCTGGGGAGCCACAGTGGCTGCAGCCCGTGAACTGATGCTGGGGAAGTGGCGGTTGCAAGGACGTGGCGTGAGGCATTGAGGTGGGGGCAGCTGCCCTGGGAGCACTGGCCTCAGCTGCTGGGGACGGAGGAGTGAGTGGAAAACCGATTCCAGGAGGGCAGAGTGGCGGGTGAGAGGCTGACAGCCGGTGGCTGGGGCATGGTGGGAGGCAGCTGTCACCACCCTCGGGGGTTGCAGGCAGATGGCAGATCCTCCCGGGATGCCCCCTCCTCCCTACTCGCCTTGGGGACTGTACCCAACATCGGGACTTTGGAGGTCACATTCCTGCTGCAGCTTGTGGCTTTCAGGAGGAAGGTGGTATGAAACGGGGAAATGGGGAAAAARGGGTTGACAGAGGGAAAAAGAAAGGTTGACGGGGAGGAGAGAAAGAAGGGAACTCTGTGCCCAGCAGAGTSCCATCCCGGGAAGTGGCTGGGAGCAGAGTCCCTGAGCAGTCGAGGACAGTTTGCTCAATACCAGGCTGGAACTCAAGGATGCAGGAGCCTGGGATCAGCTGGGGTGTGGCCAAGGTGACCCAGGCTGTGCAGGACGGAGCCATCCCTAGGTGCTCATCCACCTGGGACTGGGTGGCTCGGTCAGCACTTGGACAAGCACCCACGGTGCTGGGCTCTGGAAAGTTCTGGAAGTAAGCGGGGAGCTACAGGGCCTGGCATGGCACTCACACCATCCACCCTCTGGACTCCGCCTTTGCCCTCCACCTCCAGTGTTCCTGGGCTCAGGGCTGCCTACAGGGACACCCTTGTGGCCCCGGGTGAGGACCCTCCGTCCCCTCACCCCCTCGGGCAGCTCTCATCCCCAGAGCCTTCCCTGGCTGTGACTGGTATGAACTTTGAAGCCCAGGTATTTATGGAGGGGCACAGGGCGTGGTTTTCTCTTCCTCCGGGTCTCAGTTAAAGGCCACTTTGCCCAAGAGGACTCCCAGGTCTAGCTCCTTGGCTCTTGGCCACTAGTGGCTAGAGACCAGGGACTCCACCAAGCAGGCTGCAGGGCACGGGCCACGCCAGCAGTGCAGGGGTTGAGGCCTGGTCTACGAGAGACCTCTGCCCCGCTAGTCTTTCTCCAATTGCTGTTTATCCTTTGGTATTAACTTGCTGCCATCTGAAATTTCCTAGATGGTTGACTCAAAAAAAACCAACTTCTCCCTCTGCCTCACCGTGAATGTATGTCTAACACAGGGGGGGGTCCCTTTTGGTCTTGATCCCTGCCCTGTGCCTGGTATACAGTAGGTGCCTTGTACTTACGATTGCTCTTGTCCACTCACTCAGATGAGGAGGGTTTTGTTTTCTTGGTGTGGAATTTTGATCCTTCAGCTCCACCCAGTGACATGGTAACTCTGGGATTTTATTCCATTTAATTCAAGCAAAATTGGGATGAGTTGACAGATCTGTCCAGGCTGACACGTGGACTGGCGAGGGAGCTTCCTCAGGATGTTGGTTAGCAGTCCACCTCAACCTTGGTGGCTGATAAAGAGCTGAGACCTCAGAGTGAGCTTGTGACTTACAAAATGTCGTCGTTTTTATTTTGTCACTGTAAAGAGGTTTAATCAACCAGATTGTAACAAAATTACCACAGCTTATTCCAAAAGAAAATTTTAATACAAGAGACTTTAGAAAATTAAACATTTTTGTTTAAAAATTCTATCGTGTAAACCATAACGTAAGAGGGTAGTTGGGAGCCTGCCCGCTGAGGTCACCTCTGCCCAGGCTGGGGGGCCCAGGGTCTGTGCTCAGGTGAGGCCCACCCACCATGCCCAGGATGCGGTGGTCACGCCATCCTTTCCAGGTGACTGAGATGACGGAAAGCCAGTTAGTTCCTCTGCCACCCTCGGAATCCCTGCTCTCCAGGCAGAGAACCCAGGGATGGCCTGCATGGGTCAGCTAGTGGCTTCCAAGCAGGTGGGACACGGGCAGTGGAGAGAAGCAGAGCCCTGGGCCTCCAGCGGCTCCTAGTGGGTGTCCCCGGGGCACAGGTTCGCCCACTTTGAGAGAACGTGGATTTCTCTCCTAATACAACCTTCAGGTCCAGGGAGGCCCGTTGAACTTGTAATAATTGAGGGACAGGATTTTGAGCCCCTAAAATTGAGACGTGGCTGTCGCAAGACACACAGGGGAACCGGAGCCCTTCGAGGACTGGGGCGAGCTGTGGGGTCTGAGGGTGCACCTCGTTCCTATGATCCAGTAGCCGAGGCTTTGTTACAGAAACATAATCAAGAGACTGTTACAGAAACATTAAAATGAACTTTTTGGCACAGAAAAGTTAGATAAAATATACAGTGCTACCTTTGTGCAGGATTAGCTGATCAGAATAGCAAATATTTAACATTAGCTTTATGATGTAACGCACAATATTTTGAAAAACGTTCATTACAAAAGACCTTGTTTGTAAGTGGGTGCCAGGTCATGGTCTCCCGGCCTTGTCCAGGGTGAAGTGCTGAGCTGTTGGGACAGTTACTGCCTTTGGGGTTGAGACGTGAGTGTGAGGCTCTCCTGGGACACCCCCCAGCCAGGCTGCCACGTGGGGCAGGGTGGCCAGTGGCCAGGGCTTTCTTGGGCAGGGTCTGGCCCATCAGTCACACACCAAGGCCAGAAGGTGCTGCTGGAGCCAGGGGGGGTTCCAGAGGCTGACAGCGGTGGGAGGGCGTTTAGGGGGACCCCAGAGAACAGGGCCTGGCCTTCATGGGACAGGTCAGCTGGTGTCTCTAGGCTGCAGACAGGTGGAGCAGGAACCTGGCCTGTAGTGCTGTGACCCCATCCTCAGAGTGACAAATTGTCCCATGCAGAACTGGGAGAAAGCAAGGGCCCCAGATTCGGGCATCAGGAAACGCATCCCACAGCTGCTGTGCAGGACCCACCGGGAGGACCATGGTCATCCTTCCTATGCGTGTGTCCGGCTGGCACCAGGTAGGCCTCTGTTATCAACCGGATAGATAGAACGGTGGCAGGTGGGGTGTTGTGCCTTTAAGAAACAGGCGACGAAAGCTCAGAGTTCAGTGGGGGTCACATGTGCGTTGAACACCTGTAAGGGGATGACTGGCCGTTCCAGGGCTTCCAAGATCAGAAGAGGTGGGCAGACTGCAAACCACGGGACTCCTGTAGCCTCTGGGCACATCCTCTTACAGTTCACATCGTGGAGAGCTGGACCCACTTTCYATGAATAATTAAAGGGCAAGCAGACAGGTGACTGTCGCTCTCGGGCGATTTTTCTGAACTTCCTGTGCAGAATGTTGAAGGAGGTTCCTGGTGGGGTGGCTGGGGAGAGCGAGGCCAGTGCACCCCTTGCCTGCTGATTGGGTGTCTGAGGAGGGTCCACCCTATGGAACACAGCAGGACGAAGAAGCCATCTCGGTGTAGACCCCCTGGTCAGGGGGGACGGTGGACAGTCCTGCAGCCAGCCCCTGCCCTCGAGGGCTCTGTGTTCACAGGGGCCAGGGCTGCTCTGCTCAGTGAGGCCGCGTACGCCAGCAGTTCTGGCACCTGCAAGCTGACAGCAGGGCCCCATGAAGCCCTCGGCTGCCTCTTGGTCGGCTGGGCATGTTGATGGCTTCCCTGCCCGCACTGGGGACCCTGGTGGCTCAGTGAGATTTCAGCCAATGAACTGAGAGGGTTCAAGCACAAGCCCACGGTGGCCTTGCATGACCCCTCCCTCGCCTGTCATCCATACAGGCCACGATGGCCCAGTGGACACGGGGCCACACTCTACCCAGCCCTTGCGCACGCCCTCGGTGCGGAGGTGCCATGATGCTGAGGTGGAGCCACCTGACCCAGGCTGGCGGAGGACCGAGGGGGCTGCKGCGCTGGTCATCCTGCTCCCTGTGACAGGAGGGACAAGGGTTTCATTCCCTCTGAAAGGGGACAGATGGCATATCACAAACTGTCTTTGGGGAACAATCATGATCTGTTCAGGTGCCGGTTACAGATGGATCTGGTCCCCCAAGCCAGGTCCATGACCTGAGGCCAGCAGCGCCTGGCCAGGCCTGGGTTGGAGGTTCGGAGCCCACACCCAGCCCGATGAGCTGCATGGTGGCCTCAGGGTTCCTAGGTGGTGCTGCTTCCTGCAGCCAAGCACCCAAGTTCAATGTCACCGGTGGCTCCTTCACAGTCTGTGGGAATGTCTGCCCAYAGGAGTGATACCACGGGGTGTCCAGTGACCACTGATGGAGGGTGACAGAGCTCTGTCTGTCCAGAGGGTACAGCCAGGTGGTCAGGTTCAAAAGAGGCCAATTCCCTCGTGGGAAAGAGGCTTCCTGTGGAGCCTGGGCACTGTGCATTCCACCTGGGGACCCCAGCCCGAGCAAGGAATAGGTGGCTTTGCTGCCCTTGGCAAGCAGTGGCCACRTGGGCCAGTCTGTCCAACGAGGAACCGCCGCACGCTCAGGACAGGGGCCTGGCAGCTCTGAGACTGACCAGTTTAATCAGGGTGGCATGTGGCCGGCAGGGAAGGTGTGCTCTCTGGGTTGACCAGGTGGATGTGGTCATCACTCCAAAGCGTCGGGCCAGCTGCCGTGGCCAAGTCAGGGACAGAGTGGCTGGGATCTGGATTCTGCTGAGGTCAGAGGTCACCGCTCTGGGGCTCCACGTTGCGCGTCTCCCTGGGATGACCACGGGACAGCTTGGGGAAGCGGGAAGCCGCTTTGGGCCGGCYGTTCTTGTTCAGGGGCTCTCCGGGAGGGGTGATGTCACTGTAAGACAGGAGGAGAATCGATGGTTGGGGGGGACAGCCACTACTTAACGTCCCATTTCCCCACTCAGCTATGTCACTGAGGATCCACCCAAGCCAGCTGTGTGTCTGAGCTGGCTCATGAGGCCACATTCTGGACCCCATTTTAGGGTCATGAAGTGATGCAACCACCTTGATCTCCCAGCAAGGGCACATTTCACAGCCAAAGAGGAGAAACTTCTCTGGAAAACACACATTTAAGGTCATAAAAGATACGCAGCAAGAGACGGGACCCACAGGAGGGGACACTGATGTCACCAAACACCTACCCAAAAGGATGGCCTGCAGCCAGGAACCTGCCACCTTTSCTACCCCCAAGGGTAGTTACGACTGGGCACTGGAAGGACGCGCTAACGCACAGTCTGGTCGGTGTGGCACCAGCAGCTCCTGCTGAGCCCAGATGCAGGATTGTCCTTCTCTTTGCCATCAGGGCTCTTTAGTTTTGTGAGAGGGGGAGACGGGGCTGGTCAGGGGTGACCTCTCCCACGAGCTGACACTTGAGCTAGGGTGTGAACTCGAGATGAGGGTGGACTTGGCTACAATGTCTTCTGGTTGGGCGAGAGGGTCTGCAAGGTGGGGGTAGTCCCGGCAGCAGAGCTGTGGTGTGCACAGGTCATGTGATCCAAAGAMGGTATCAGAACAGTGGACAGAGTGAAGATGGAGACGGGGTCTGGTAACCACTGATATGTTCTAATCCCTGCTCCAGGGGGTGAYGCTGGACTCGGTGATGCCCAGAGTGGCTTCAAGGTCATGKTGACCGTGGCTCTGAAAGCCCACCAGGCCCATCCCCTGTTCCTCACCTCAAATCCATAACCCCAGCCTCCCGTGCTGCCCTCCAGGCCCACTACAGTGCCACTGGCTCCTGGGAGTGCCCACGCCCCGAGCGCCAGGCCTGTCTGACTCAGGCCCCCTCCTGTGTGGTCCATCAGCAGCCCAGAGCTCTGATCCTCAGGAGACCTCTGGCTGTGTTTGTAACACGAGCCTCCTGTGGACTGGGGCTGAGTTTCCATAGGGTCCTGCACCCTCAAGATCAGATCCCAACAGTCCCCTTTCAGTAYGGCTGGCGATGCTGAGTGTCCTCCCAGAAAGTGGGACGCCTTCTGCTTGAAGGGTCTGCTCMTCAGACACCAAGACGGCTCCCGCTCCCTCCCCCAGGGGAGAAGATATGGCAGGAGACCTCCTGCCCCCTCATCTTGGCTCTTCAGCTGCTCTGCACTTTTTGAAACAGACCCCTTCATTATTTTCAGGAATAGGTAGCACAGAAAGTGGTGCAAAGTCRAAAAGCAAGTCCGCCCCACCCTGTCCTCCAGGCAGCCAGGGCTATCATCTGAAAAAATTTTTCAAAGAATCTTTCTAGAGCTATCTACTGCACCCAGGAGTGTATATGATAGAGTGGATGCATAGGATACTTACCGATTGTTTGTGCTCTCTAAAGACAGGGGAGTATCTGCTGCTGCGGCCACTTCTCCCTCCTGTGACGCAACCATGGAGAGCTGTCACTTCAGAGATCGGCCGTGTCATTCTAGTGCCAGGGTTGGCAAACTTTAAAGGGCCAGAGGTAAGTGTTGTAGGCTTGGGGACCACCTGGTCTCTGTTGGAGCGGCTGCAGCCCAGTAGTGGGTGGAAGGCAGGACCTGGCCAGCTATCTAACACCTGGGCATCAATCACAGCTGTCTGACCACACGGTACCAAGGAGGCGAGGCTGCACYTTGCTCCTCACCCCCAGGTCTCAGGCTAAATGCTGGACAGACCTTGCTTGGCGACTCCTTCAGCCCAAGCAGCATCCGGAACCCTAGCACACCAGGCACTAGATCCCCCTTAAGTGGGTTTAGGCCACACTGTTCTCTAGAGCTGGGTGTAGCCCTCAGGGTGGTGCAAGGGAGGCATGGGGCTGGGTGTCCCAGGCGAGGCCCTGTCTCCACCCCTCACCACCATGTTGACTTAAGCGCCAGACCTCCAACTCCGAGCTCTTCCCTCTGCTGTACGTCCAAGACCTGCCCCACTGACCTCGCAGCTGTGGGCCCAGTCCCTGCCACCACCCCTCTCTTGCCCCCCTTCAGTTGCCGACCCAACCTGTGCCTGGGGTAGAGTTGGGATCGCCTAGTTTTCCRCCACCCTGGAGCCGGGCCCTGCCTGTCGAGTGCTGTGTAGTCTCCCAAAGCCCCTGGCACGGCAGGTGCTGCAGGACCCGCACCCAGGGCCCAGGAAGACGGGTCCGGGTTCCTGCTGAGTTGGAACCAGAGGATGTGCCTGGTGTGGCTTGGAGAGGGGATACTGGCTGGTGAGTGTGCGAGGCTTAAGGGAGGGCCACCAACGGTGCCACATAGAGGACAGTCCACTGGAGTTTGCATTTCTTCTAGAATTGGTGCCATAAACCCTCTGAGATGGTGGCCTTAGAAAGGGTTGGACCACCACTGAGGACTGGAGGGCAGGGGAGCTGGCAGGATCTGTTTTCCCGAGCTGCTGGGTACAAGTCACCCGGAGCCTTCAACCACAGTTGGAGGTCACGGGTCCAAAACAGGCCTCTCAGTGCTGAAATCAGGATGACAGAGGGTATGCAGGGCCCAGACGCAACCAGAAGGCACAGGTGTCCTGGGCAGCCTCCTCCCTGTGGGGCACGGTGAGGTCTAGGCCTGGTGCCATGCAGGCCGACCCTGCGGCCACCCTCTGTAGGAGAGCGTTTAACCCTCCCAGTCGCCTGCTGGGATTGAAGGATATCAACCCCGTCTCRGGCCAAGAGGCCGAGTGGTRGGGAACCTGGCCCAACACTTYAGCGTCCCYCCTGTGACCAGCTGAGGGCGCCTCCTCACAGGACTGAGCCTCTGGAGCCACAAGGTACTGCTTAATTACTTGATGTGGGTTGAGAGTGAGCCCCTCCCCAACACTGCCATGTCAGGGGTCTAAGGCACCAGGCTGTGGCTTCTCTCTTCCTGCCACGATTGCCTGTTGTGAATTGTAAAGATGCCAACTGTAAAGATCCCTTTWCTTAGGGGGCAGGAGAGAGTGCTGCCGTCTGTAGGCTACCAGAGCAGGATGTTCCTTTCTCTCCTTCCCAAGAAATGTGACTGGAGCGACACCTAGTCCAGACGCAGTGAGCACGCATCCCTGGTAAACGCCAGTCGTGTTATCAGCTGGACCCTGCGCTCCCTGGAGACATCTCTAGCTCCCCTTACACCCAGAGGACAGCGGGAGAACTCCGACTTCTCTGGRCTCCAGTTACTCTCGAGTTACTGAGTCTGGCTGTCACACTCTGGTTCCTTATTGCCCAAACTGAGTAACGGCGACCACCCTCTAGAGACTTGTGAGGAACGTACAGCATCCAGCCGGGTGACGGCCCCGGGTACAGGCGCAGCACCTGCAGTGAGGCCCTGGGGGGCCTTCCTAGGTCATCCGTCTCGGGGACTCCCTGCCCCACTCAGGGCCATGGAGGGGCGCTGCAGCAGCAAGGCCACACTCTAGCCACCCGCCCCCTGAAATGCCACACCAACAGCCCTGAGACTGAAGGTGGGGAAGGGCCTCCATGGTCACTCCCAGGGTCAGACGGGGGCCTTTCTCACCACCAATGGCATTTCCCAAGAATTACTGATCAGCTTCATCCTCAGCCCAACCTGTTCAACTGGCACAGCCCTGAAAACATGCTCATGTCACCTGGGGGCCTGGCCCAGTTGAAGCCTAGGAGGACACAGGCTTAGCCCCAAGATCCACGCTTGAACTTGGTAGCACCTCCCGTTGCTGCCTCAAGGAACCTGTCACTCAGCTAGGAGGTGCCCATACTTCTGCTCTCCCAAGAAAGATGCCTTATTTCCTCTCACTCACTGCAAACCCCACACCTGCTCAGGTGACAGCGCTGCCCCCACCTTGGAGGTAAGGAAGGTGAGGGGGATGCAGTTATCATAGGTGTCTGGCTACTTGGGGGAAAGTCCAGTCTTTCTGCTGCCCCCCCTGGGCAATCTTCCCTCCTGCCTGGGCTCAGCCAGGCCTGTCCTGATGTCAGCCTGCTTTTGAGAGTGCAGATGGCGAGCCCCAGTGGGGTGGGCTCTCTACGGCTGCGCCTTCGCCTTTGATACCTTAACAGCTCAAGAGGCAAAATGTGGCCCCAGGAGAGACTATGGGGGGGGGGGGGRGAAAGAGACCTGACGGTGTTTACAGGGCGAGGGGGCGTTCTCAAAGCTGCCTTGCTGGAGCTTTGCATTCGTGGGCTAGCTGTCCCCAACCCTCCGTGCACCAGCCACCCCCTCATGGATTCCAGCATGGTGGGACAGCATCACCCAAAGCCCCACCACTGGTGAGGATGTGACTGGTYCCAAGCTGCAGTGCAGCTTTCCCCAGTCGTCGCTGGCCCCTGGCCAAGGTGCAGAAAGCCTTCGAGGCTGGAAAGGCCTGGACCTCATGTTGGTGCCTGTGGCTTCCGGGGCCCCATTTGTGCACAGTCTTCTGCCAGCTCCTCCTGTGCTCAGTCCTAGATCTCTCACCAGGCCCGTGGCATGACAGGGCCCCTGTTCACGGGCCCAGCCTGCACCTCAGAGCCGAACTCCAGGCTCCAAGGCCACTCAACGGCTCTGGGGGGCTGACRGGCATCTCTCAGTGCAGCGCCTCAAGGCCACCTCTCACACCCACCCCTGCAGTAAACAGCAGCTCTGTTCCTCATGCCAACACTGAGGACATGTCCCAGACTCCTCCCATCCCCACTGAGCAGATCCTGTTGGGTCTGCCTTCAGAGTGCAGCGGGTCACGGCCCAGCCCTCCCAGCCTGGCCAGATGCCATCCTGTGACTGTTTCCTTCTCCTCCTCTGGGGCTGGCAGGGTGCCCCCTTGACCACAGATTGCATAGGACATGAGTGTCCTCCCTAGTCTGGCTTCTGTTGTCTCAGGCAGGCTGGGCACTGTCGGGGCCTTGGCATGGGTGTGCCTCTGCTGCCCCAGCCCCCACTTTTTCTCCACAGCAATYGCCACCTGACACCC